GCTCTGGAAAGAGCTCAGAACGAGAGGTTTGAAAATTCAAGAGCTCAGATAGTCAAAAGAACGGGTGTTTTTTCGAGTTTTGTACCATCAAAAAGGGGCAGAGATGCTAGTTTTCGACCCCAAGTTAGATCAGAGTCAGTGGCATCCTCTGTTAAAGGATTAAATCATATGAGAGGTAGACAAACTCAGTCAGTGGGATCTGGAGCTGGGAGATCTAATCAGAGTCAAGCCAGACAATGCTCACATTGTGCAAAGAATCATTCAGGGATATGCCGGATGATTTCTGGAGTCTGCTTTAGATGTGGGGACGCTGGGCATTTTGTTCGGGATTGTCCAATGTTAACCAGTGAATCTACACAGCCAGAGAGATCTATTTCTACAGGCCAGAGAGGAAGAGGTAGAGGCAGAGGAAGAAATCAATCGGAATCCTCTGCTCAACAGGAGATACACTCCACTGCTCGAGTGTACAACCTCAAGACCAATGAGGATTGTGATGACCCATATATTATAACATGTACCTTTCTATTGTTTGACAAAGGTGTTATTGTATTGATTGATACGGGGTCTACATATTCATACATTACAAGTAAGTTAGTGGAAGAATTGAACATTTCGTTAGAAACTACTAGCAATGAGGTGATAGTGACGAATCCGTTAGGACACAGTGCTCGGGTAAATATGATGAGTCGAGGATGTCCCATACGAATTCAAGGAATTGAATTCCCTGCTAATCTGATGGAATTACCTTTCGACGAATTTGAAGTGATACTGGGATGGATTGGTTATATCGTTATTACGCTAATGTCGATTGTAGATTGAAAAGAGTAACGCTGAGAAGTCTAGAAGGGGTAGATGTGGTGGTATTTAGTGAAGAATAGAATCCATTGGCAAATGTAATTTCAGTAATGTCAGCGAAGAAGTTATTGCTACAATGATGTCAAGGGTTCATTGCTAATGTGTTGGATGTTAGAATCAAGGAGAAAGGGATTGAAGGAATTCCTATAGTCAGAGAATTTCCCGATGTATTTCCTGCAGAGTTGCCAGGTTTACCTCCGGACAGAGAGGTAGAATTCCAGATTGAGATAATATCGGGAGCAGCGCCCATTCTAATGGCACCATACAGGATGGCTCCAAAAGAGTTGCAATAATTAAAGATTCAATTACAGGAGTTACTAGACAAAGGGTTTATTAGACCAAGTGTATCACCTTGGGGAGCTCCAGTTCTATTTGTTAAAAAGAAAGATGGATCAATGCGTCTTTCTATCGATTACAGACAGCTCAATAAAGTGATCATCAAGAATAAGTATCCATTTCCCCGAATTGACGATTTATTTGATTAATTAAAGGAAGCTTCAGTGTTCTCAAAAGTTTATCTACGATCGGGTTATCATCAATTAAAGATTCAAGAGAAAGACATTTCAAAAAATGGCGTTTAGAACAAGATATGGTCACTATGAGTTTATCGTGATGTCGTTTGGAGTTACGAATGCACCAACTGCTTTTATGGATCTAATGAATAGGATATTCCAACCTTATTTGGATCAGTTTGTTGTGGTGTTTATTGATGATATTTTAATATATTCAAAGTCAGAAGAAGAGCATAATTCACACTTACATATTGTTTTACAGATTTTACGAGACAATAAGTTTTATGCTAAATTTTCTAAATGTGAATTTTGGTTGAATAAAGTGACATTCCTTGGACATGTAATTTCTGCAGAAGGAGTTCGAGTGGATCCCCAAAAAGATTAAAGCTATTCTGGAGTGGGAAGTTCCAAAGAATGTATCAGAAGTTAGAAGTTTTCTGGGATGAATACTGAACTAAGGTTCGGTGCCCCATGAGGGAATTGATACGAGCTGTGGTGACATCATTAGTGCACAACCTCAATGTACTCACATACCTCTATTCTCAATAATATACATGGGCAATTGAAATTCAAAGTAAAGTGAAAGTGGTACAAGAAGGCAAGTTTCATACATGCATGATATGATTATATATGTTATTGTGTAATAGATATATGCGTATTGAAATGTCATGAAGGAAATGGTAAGAATGCATATTCATGAAGATATTGTTGCATATTCATTTATTGCCTCACTAAGTCTATGACTTAGCGTGTAAGTGATTTACACGTAGGTACAAAGAAATAAGAAGATTCAGAATAGAAGTGGCACGGACAACAACATTACTAAGAAATCAGATCAGAAGTAATTGACAAAGTGGATATTTTGTTGTGTATAGAGTGTTGGTATGTAATAAGTGGTTAATTATGAATGCTCTGATCGATTTTGTATTAAGTGGTCTCTTTTATGTAAATTAAAGTATTTTGTTTTAATGAAAGTTTTAAATCTCTATTTTTTTTAAGAATCCAAGTTTGAAAAGTCAATGTGACATCTCAGACTTGTATTCGGGTCGAATATGAGTTAGGGGTGTTACTATCTTACACTTAAATTACTAACCCGATATTGAGGAGTTACACCTTGGACTTAGACCTGGGTTGAAATAAAAAATAATAATAAAAATGAACTAACTAACTAAATAATAATATATAATAAAAATAAAAACTATATAATATTATATTACATGTTTTCAAAAATCGTTTTTAAAAATATATATATTGTACGTTTTCAAAAATATTTTTTAGAAAACCATATATTATACGTTTCAAAAATATTTTAAAAAAATTATATATTATACGTTTTTAAAAAGCTATATATTATATATTTTCAAAAAATATTAAAAAAATTATATATTATACGTTTTCAAAAATATATATTATATATTTTTAAAAAACTACATTTGAAATTATTTTATATATTATATACTATATAAAAGTCCTTAATCTCTCGAACGAAAATGAGTGTTTGCACCTAGATTCAATTAAACTTGCACGGTTTTCAACTTTTCATGACTTGGGGAGGCATTAGTTATATCATACTTAAACAAGTGATTAGCATAGTTATATCATACTAATTTATAATTATACGTTGGGCCTTTTTAAAATTTTAAATTTTTATAAATTAAATTAATTTATAATTATACGTTGAGCCTTTTTAGAATTTTAATTTTTTATAAATTAAATTAATAATGCTCATCGTTAATGATGCTCATTTATTGTCGAGCATGAAGACTCGTCCTTAAATTTATGTATAAATTTTCAACTGATAATGATTGACCACTTCTTTAGGCCACATACACACTTTTCTGCATGTTATTAAAATTTTGTTCATCCAGATTGCGGGACAAAAAAATTAATTCAAGAAAAAATTGCTTTGGATATTAAGAAAGGCTAATTTAGACTTACTTTTGAAAGGTTGTTCATGTAATGGATCGGAATTTAAAAATGATTAAATAAAGATTGAATTATTTTAAATCTGTTATTTGGGCAGTCTTCTTATCGATTAGGTGTTTGTTTCAGCTTCTGTCTTGATGACTTGGTTTTCCTTTTCATATGATGTTTTGTTTCGATTGGAGAGCTCACAGTTCCCGTTGTTTTTGTTTTTGTTCTCTTCTTCTTTGGTCTTTAATCAATATTTAAAAAGCAAGATATGATCCGCAACTGAATTTCTCAAATAATACAGCTGGAAAAAAAAATTATTCGAATAAAACACTCTCGAAATTATTTCGTGAAATAGAGTGAATGTTACGGTAAACCCGAATACGCATTGGAGTCCAAGCAACTTACACCCATATTTTTTGTAAATGTACAAAGAGTAAATTACACAATTAATCATTCCACTTTATTCTCACTCCAAATTCACTCAATGTACTTTTAATTTTTTCAATTTAATCACTCAACTTTTATTTTACTCCTATTTTGATCACTCTACAATGACATGGATTGTTTTACTCCTATTTTGATAACTCATCGACCATTGTTCAAGTTGTTATATGAAAACCAATTTGATCCATCAGTTCTAGCATTGAATTTGTGTACTAAAGAAACCAACATCGTGCTCACATAATTTCTAATTGAAATTGGGTTTAGGTGGGAGTTATGACCGTCACTAATTTAGGGTATAATAAAAATAAATTAATTAAATGCAACTGAACTATTTTGGACAATAATTTCAATTAGAAATTATGTAAGCACGATGTTGTTTTCTTTAGTACACAAATTTCTAATTGAAATTGGGTTTAGGTGGGAGTTATGACCCCCACTAATTTAGGGTATAATAAAAATAAATTAATTAAATGCAACTACATTGTTTTGGACAACAACTTCAATTAGAAATTATGCAAGCACGATGTTGATTTTTTTAGTACACAAATTCAATGCTTGGACTCCCAAAAAATTACCCTTTGTACATTTATGAAAAAGTGAAAAAATTACCCTTTAGTACACAAGTTGAGTGATTAAATTAAAAAAATAAAAGTACAATGAGTGAATTTGGAGAGAGAATAAAATTGAATGATTAATTGTGTAATTTACCCTTTGTACATGAAAAAAATATTGGAGATGCATGGAGTGCAATGTGTCTCCCATATTTTTTCACTTACATAATTAATCATTCAACTTTACTCTCTCTCCAAATTCACTCTGTACTTTTAATTTTTTCAATTTAATCACTCAACTTTTGTTTTACTCCTATTTTGATAACTCATCGACCATTGTTCAAGTTGTTATATGGAAGTCAATTTGATCCATCAGTTCTAGCATTGAATTTGTGTACTAAAGAAACCAACATCGTACTTACATAATTTCTAATTGAAATTGTTGTCCAAAAAAGTGCAATTGCATTTAATTAATTTGGGGAGAGAATAAAGTTGAATGATTAATTGTGTAATTTACCCTTTGTACATTTACATAGAATGAAATTGGTGAAAAATATCCCAAATTTGTGTATAAGTCGCTTGAAATCTAATGCGTCTTCGGGTTTACTTTAGCATTCATCTATTTCACGAAATAATTTCGAGAGTGCCCTATTCGAACAATATTTTTTTTCAAATGCATTATTTGAGAAATTCAGCCATTATGATCCACAGAATACGCAGAAAGTTAAATACAAAGAACTGTTCATATTTATTGATTGAAATGAATACACCATAGTGCTAATGTACAGACTTATGAACATGCAAGACAATGATGTTACTTGAGCCAGGAGTGCAAGGGCATTTGAATTATTTCCAGTTGAAAGTCATGTTGCTCGAACTCCTCGTTTCTCTTGAAGCATTCGTGTTCCATGCTCACTATTAACACATGGATATAGAATCTCCAATGATCTTCGGAATCCGAATAACATATGTTGAAAGAATCCACCATGAAAAGCACAGTGAAGGCTGAACATATTATTATCACATCTCTACTTCATTTTCTTCCCTGTGCCTGGTCCCGGACGCCAAGCTTTCCACCATTCATTTCCAATCAAGCATGTCTAATAGCCACAATACCTCTTCTCTAGAATTGGCAGCATCACAAAAGTCCAGCTCAATGCCAAAAACATTCATGGCACCGTCGTTTCCATCTTCTGTGAATAGCAAGGAGATCCATGCCCGGATTCCCGAAATAAAGGGATAATTGGGAGAGAAGACAAGGTAGTCGAAAGCTAGAGCCCTGGAAGCTGTACGATCTATGTAATCAAACAGTGATTTATTAATTATACAAGCAACTTTATTCGTGTCCTTCTGCCCCACGAGCACTGAAACACTAACAGTCTGGCTCCAAGGAACGGTGAAACTTGGGTCAACAGGTAAGATCATCTTGTACTCGGGACTCTCGAGATGAAACTTGAGCATGTTGCAAATTCCAGCTGGTAAGTTCTTGATTCCTCTCTGGAGGACAGGACCAGGGACAACATCAGAGAAAATCAGTTTATCTTCACTCCAAATGTCAATGTAGAATTCCAAGTCATCGAAGGAAAGTCTTGGAGGGAGAAGTGTTCGCTGATGCTGCCGTTTATAGAACGATTGATACAGTTTATAGTAGGTTACGGTGGGAGGATTGGGCCGTTTGCAAATCGAAGGCCATCTCTTTGCACATACACATTTCCAAAAGTAATCATCTTTAGCTATGCGTCTCCAATTCTTACAAACCAACATACAAGCTGCAAGGTCTACGCCATCTAAAAAGGGAAAAACAACCTTGAAAACTTCTTCTAATGACATTTTCGGATAGCAAAATGACCATCAGAAGCTGGAATATGATAATTTGCTCCAGCAAATCAGAGGTGTAAAAGAACTAAAAGCTGAGTAGCTGAGGGCTTCCTGTGAAAACAATAAAATTGTCAAAGCATCAATGGATCGATATTAAGCTCAAAACATGAATGTTGCACATACTTTTGTACAGCAAGATGTCCGTATCATGGTGCCTTAAACATCAAATGATGCATTCAACAGAAAATATGACATATTGGGTATTGCAACCGTGTTCAAAACTAAAACATTATTTCAGGAAACAAGGTCTGTCCTAAACAAGTCTGTGAAAGGATAAGAAAGACAAATTCTCTTCCCGAAAAATGTATTTTACTTGAAAACAACCAGACCGGATCAATAACCTCTAAATGCAAATGGAATTTTACAATGTCAACTTCATGGACACCGAAACATAAATCTATGATCTTAGACCCACTCGATTAACTTTACCACTAGCCAGATACATCATACACAAATGCACAGAACAAAACACACACAGAAAGTGATTTTAAAGCATTCAATTTACCAAAACTAACACTTCAATGACATAATAATTCGCCAATTCGAGGTTGAGCACGACTATTCTATGCCAATTTGGGGTTGAGCACGACTATTCTACGCCGTATAATTCCTTTCGAGCTCTACAATTCACAATATTAAACCTCAAAAACTCAGATAATTATGAGCTCAAAATTTCCAGCAGAACCCAAGTTTACTTCAAACAACTAAAACAAAACCCAAATTCAAATTCCACCCATATTCATAAATATAACCCTAGAAATAGTACATCGAGGGAAAAAACATAACTTAGACTAAATGTAAAACAGACCCAGAAACAAAAACAAACCCTACCGCTACATGATATGAAAAAAATCCAAACTTTCTAATTCATACGCGAAAATTTCACCAAAAAAGAACGAAAAACGGAGAGAAAAAAGAAATCAACAAACCACAGATGGAGAAAAAAAAAAGGCAACGAAGCTAGGAGATTCGCAGCATATTAACTAGTAAGAGTTATTATTTACCTGATTTATTGGTGGAATTTGGAGAGATATTTCAGGAGATGTGATTTTTGGTCTCTTATTATTTATATTACTATTAAGGCGTTGAAAAATAGGCATGAAAAAACCCGAAGGTTAGAGAAAAAGAAGTAACAGAAAGACCGAACAAATAATATAAGGGAGAGAGAGGGGTTAGTAAAAAATTGATAAGACAAAGCCTCCAACAAAATAAATAATTTGCTTATGGATTAGTATTAATCAAAGGGTAAATTATTGGATTGGTCACTTAACTTTTATATTTCTACATTTTGTATATCAAATTATAAAAATTATATTAAGTCACTTACACTATTGATTTATTAAAATTTAATCACTTATGTTATTGATTATTACATTTTAATCACTGATGTGTTCACTCATTTTAGTTTGACCCTTGAACTTTAAATAAGAATATTAATCTAATCATAAACTTTAAACAAAATATCATTTTGACATCTAAATTTTAGATAAAATATTAGTTTTATCTTTCAATTCAATAAAAATCTCATGTCATCGGTCACCACTCATCGTCATAATTGTCGGCCAACATCAGCCATCATCGACACTAATTGTTTTGGACTCCCAAAATTACTTTTATAAACTATTTTTTATAATGTTAAGAAAACTGATGTAGTGAAATTTTGTAGATACTATATGTTTAAAAGTAACTCACAATTATTTGACAATAAATATCTATAGACATACATTATACTCAAACTTATAATTTCAAGGACAACAACAAATTCCTTAATGCAAACAAGGCGAGCAGGTGGTAATGTTGTTGCAGATGGATTAGGCCAAATATGCAATGCTCTGCTTCCAGGGGTAAACTCCTTTGCTACTTGTCATAACCATTTTTTAGGTAAAACAATTAAATATTATTTTAAAAAACAATTATGACTTTTATTTTGAAAATTGGGCGATTTTGGATTAATTTGAATTAAATTGAATAGAGTCGCCATCAACCTTTGGAGTAGATAGGTCGAATACCTAAAAAACGTCTTTTAAAATTTTTTTTAATAAAAATTATTTTTAGACAAAAAAAAACTGGTCTGCATTTACAAATATTCTATTAAAACGGGTTCGGGAGTCGGTTACGCATGGGGAAAGATAAACACCCCCACAACGCCCAAAATTGGTACTATGTCGCTTACACGTTGTCGTAATGATGAAAATTATGAATTGAATCGATACTTAAAGTAAGATCCATTTATTGAAATATAATTAATTTACTTCAAATGATTTATATTATTAGGGAAAATTCTTTATCTTGAAAAGAAATCTCTAGATAAGCAATCCTCCATTGGGAAAGCTAACTCGTCTATTTCTTAACAGTAAAAAAATATTCTCTCCTCATTGATATAAAAAAAATCGAATATCAAATGAATATCGATAATTGCATAAAAATAAATTAATAAAAACATTGAATCATTCACATAAAATATTTAATTAATAAAATAAAATAGATTTATTTTAAGGCTCATTTCGTTCAAACGTCGTATCGGATTGTACCACTTCGATCAAGTGATACTTTCCACGCCAATTCTACGAATTCGTATTCTTGAAAATATTCGATTGACACTAACTAACAAAGGAATATATATATATATATATATTTAAACATTAATTGAGATGCATTTAATGAACAAAGAATATATACACGTATTAAAATTTAAACAATATAATGTATTTAATACCAACATGACTAACATTTATCTTATTTACATAAACACATATATATACTTGTTCATGAAAACATAATAATACTTGGTAAATATATCATATTGAAACATAGGTAAATAAACTACCTACCATACAAAGAATACATGAAACAATAATACGCATATAGGGTGCAATGATATACATATAAGTAAACATACATACAGATGAAAACTCTAATGAACTCATTTTATTAACATGTTTAATACTCCTATATATAGGAATTTCATTAATATATAATAATATGTAAACTATGTATGACTACATAAAATGAAAATAAAATATCAAAATCCATAATAGTAGATTTAGGGACTAAAAAACTAAAAGGAAGAAACAACCCAGATCAATTAAAAATAAACCCCAAATAGTCAATACTAAATCAGGAATAGTGACTAAAATAAATACAAGGCTGAACATAATAACCAAAGCACAAAATACATAACTTTACAAACTGGTATGCATGAAGGATAACAATGGAATCAAATGACAAATCAAGGGCTATCAGTATAAATATACCACATATACTAACAAATTTTAATGGCTAAAATAAAATAAGAACAAATAATAAAACCCGAATAATAATGAAAATTTTCATTCAGTGACTAAAATGAAACGTGAAATGAAACGTGTACAAAATAGGGACCCTCCCTACGTGGTTTACCCAAACGACGAGCTGAGAGTTGCCCTAAAGCACCTAAACGGCGTCGTTTTGGGTTGTTTAAATACCCTATTTTATTTGATCTTCGACTGAAGCCTCTCACATTTCTCTCATCTCTATTTTCCCTCTCTCTCCCTTTCTTTTCTTCCCCGCCACCAAGGAAAACTGAGCCAAAGCCCCGGCCACCGTGAAACAGTGGCCACGGGATACAAAACTAACGATCAGGGACCCCAATCGATACCTCTCACCAACCAACATCTACCCTAACAATAACCCTAACTCAAAAATAAAACCCAAACCCCTCTAATCCCTAAACTGGTGCAAAAATAATGGCCATTTTTACCTTCAATGAAGCTCCTCCTCTCCCGATGAGAGTCACGACCACAAACGGTGATGAATGGTAAGTTCCCTCTCCCTCTTTCTATTATTTTTTCCTTTTTCTGGTTTTCCCCCCAAAACCCGAATGCCTCTGTTTTTCCCCCTTTTTTTTAGTTTTCTGTTTTTTTTGTTTGGGATTCGAATGGGTATTTTATTTTTTCTCTATATTTTTCATTTTCCCCGAATGGTTTCTCACCGAATGCTCCCCTTTATCCTTCTATCCTCTTCCTTTTATCTTGCTTTGCATGTTGATTTGTCGATGGATGTGAGGCCTCAAAAATAAGATAATAATATCCTATATTTCTAGGATAATCATTCTCTGACTTGATGTTGATTCTCGTCACTGTTGGATGTATGTTGTTACTGTTTTGGTGCAAGGAAGGACGACGACGGCGTCAGAAGCTGTCGGGGTGAAGCTCGGCTGGAATCTGAAGAGTCACACGGCGGCGGCTGGAAGTCTAAACGGTGGCAGCGGCTGGAGATTGGTTTAGGGTTTAAAATCCTAATTTGTTTTAGGGTTAGGGTTATCTGCTGGATTGTGCCAGTGATTTGGGTTCCAGTGGACTTCTGGTTTGGGCCTCGGGATTGACCTGCAAAATGTTGTAATATGTAATTATTAATAATAATAATAATAATAACATTAATAATAATAATAAAAAAAAAATTAAATAAAAAAAGATCCGGACAAAAACGAGTGTTTTACACTATTTTCATCCAGTTCGGTTGTCTTTCTCTTCGTTGTGTGCTTGCGTGCTGTCTTCAACATTTCCTTTTCCATTAACAAAATACCCTGCCTTTCTTCTACAATTATGTGTCTTCCTCACCAAACAAACAAGGTTCGTTTTCCCATTAGTTGAGTTCACGGTTAGATCCGTAATTATTTATGTACTCGATAATTGTTCAAATTCGATTAACATAGTTTAACACAAAATAAAATTTATCGTACAGCTTTTAAGTATGAATCCGAAATCAATAGGATAACTTTGGAAATGAATAATGACCACACATTGCTCTTATTAATCAGATTGGGAGTTCTCAATTCTACACACACAGAAAACACGAGGATATGGGGAAACCACATCTTTTGGTTATCCCATGTCCAGCACAAAGCCTTGTCATTCCTCTCGTGAATCTCTCCAAATACTTGGCCAAACAATCCATCAAAATCACCTTTGTCAACACAGAGTTTAATCACAAGAGAGTCATTGACGCATTCGGCAAGAATGTCGCCGAAAACGGCTTACTTCGGCTAGTTTCGGTACCCAATGCTTTGGAAGATGGGGAAGACAGGAGGGAGAAGGGGAAGTTAACTGAAAGACTAGGCCAGGTTATGCCGGGACACCTGAAGGAGTTGATTCATAAGATTAATGCATCGCATGAAGACAAGATTTCGTGTGTTTTAGCTGATTTAAGCATCGGGTTTGTACTTGATGTTGCGGTGGAGTTGGGGGATTTCGATGGCCGCATTTTGGCCGGCTTCGGTGTTCCAACTAGTGGTGCTTCTAGGTATCCCAAAGTATATTGACGATGGATTGATTGATGAAAATGGGAAGACCCTGTCTTTATTTTTAACTGGTTTGTAGTACTGTTGGATATTGCTGATGGAGAAAATAAATATTGAATGTGTTTTTCAGGCACTCCACTTGTGAAAGATAAAATGTTTCAGTTGCCACCTATGACGCCTGTTATACACCCAGCCAAGTTTCTGTGGCTTAACATTGATACCTCTCCTTCAACACAGAAAATCATGTTCCACACTTCATGGGGGAACAACAAAGCTGTCGAAACAGCAGATTGGGTAGTTTGCAACTCAAGTTTGGAATTGGAGCCTGAGGGGTTCAACTTGGTTCCCAAAGTCCTACCCATCGGCCCTCTTCCAGCCTCCGATCGGCTCGGAAACTTGTCGGGGAATTTCTGGCACGAGGATCCAACTTGTTTGCAATGGCTCGATCAACAATCACCTGCTTCAGTCATATAAGTTGCATTCGGTAGCTTCACGGTTTTCGGTGAAATCCAATTCCAAGAGCTGGCTTTGGGGCTTGAACTCACCAACAGGCCATTTCTTTGGGTCGTCAGAGAAGATATTACAGAGGGAAAACACCATGTTTACCCACAGGAGTTTATCGAACGAGTGGGAGATCGAGGTAAGATGGTGAGTTGGGCACCCCAAGGAGCAGTATTGGAACATTCTTCGATTGCTTGCTTTATAAGTCACTGCGGCTGGAATTCCACCATTGAAGGTGTAAGCAATGGGGTTCCCTTCTTGTGCTGGCCTTACTTTGCAGACCAGTTCCTGAACGAGAGCTACATTTGCG